AAATTTGTGGAGTTTTGCTAGGCCAATATTTTTTCTGCTTTCTATTTTGACTCCACAACACATTTTCAACCAATGTAACTGTAAAATACCACCAAGAAATATTCCACAAGCATAAAATTATGATTAATAGAAAAAATATGATATTTAAAGCAGAGAAACCATGTAAATTTTCATCGTATAAATTTTCCCAGACTTACCTATTACTTACCCTCAAATAATCTCATATCTAACTAAGACTCGAAATGATGTTCATAACTCTCATGCACGACTTCTTGATTCTTTAGCAAATTTATATAAATGGTAATGAAAAATGTGCAAATATCATTTCATGGTCGGATTATTATAACTTTCTAACAATTTAGCCTTTTCTTTAATTCATCTTTCTGAGCTTTGTCAAATCTCAAAACTCTTAATCAGGTGTGAATGTAATTTTTTTATTTTCAAATTTTTTTTTTTAAGTCGATTAATTCTCTATCAAACAACTCTAAAATTCCTTAATTTTTCCTTTATATAATATTTAGGAATTCGGTTAAAATTGTTGTCTTATTAATTTATATAATATTTAGGAATTCGGTTAAAATTGTTGTCTTATTAATTAGCAAATGAATTAGAAATCACTTTTTTGACTTTTTATGCTCAACCTCAAGGTTCTTATTAAAAATTATGGGGTAGTTTTTCTTTTGATTTTTCGTTTTACTTTGTGCCATGCACACATTTTTTTGTTTTTTTTCTTTTTTTATTCTTAAAATCATCTTTAATTTTACTGGGAATTATTTTATCTAGTTGAGCATATTTCCTCTAAGAATTTGGATGTCAAATCTCTTCCAATTTCTAATCTTTTAAAACACATTAACTTGAATTTCAGAATATTAAAATCTATTTGAAAGTTAAGATCGATTAAATTGTTTGAGATGAAAATTTAAATGCTTGATTATCCTTTATTAATTACTTCTATCTGGTTACATTATTCGAATTATTCTAAGACATGTTAGGGTCCAGATAGAAGTTGTTAAAGTGAAAGGCTTAATTTATAATGAATCAATTTTAATCCCTCCTTTTTAAGGATCTACATTAAATAGGAAAAAAATTACATACTCTAGTTCAATTATCCTGATTCCTATCATTAGTCACTAAATTTAGTCAAACCACTTAAATATGTGAATTACTTTCAGGATATAGTGTATATGCATAACTCTCTTCTCCAAACTTGTTTTCTTTCCTATACATGTCATATGAGAAAATACAAGAATGAAAAGAAAATAGTATGTAACAACATGGAATGTGATCACAACAAAATAAAATAACAGAAAGATTGATAGGGTACAATAAAACCTATTCTGGTATGCTCTGTAAACAAGCACTAATAGATATCCTCATTTATAGTTCACTTATTGGCTGGTTGCCACTTAAAGTGGTCCAACATACTGAAAATGAGAAGTTGTAAGCTGCTTTTGGAAGGCTATAAGGAGTTATTCAGATGTCAAAGTTAATTCAACATGTACCCATGGATAGATAGCCATACAATAGGAATGAAACACAACGTTATAAATTACCTTAGGAACTTGGTGGGAGAGAAAATTCTACAATGGGATTTAGGTCCTACTAGAGAAGAAGAGAGCTCTCCTGAATGGTTATACTTCAGTGTGGTCCATCTTATCACAAATTTTAGTCCAATCTTAGTTAGTCTAGGCAAATTTATTTATCGGATATGCCCTGTTGAGTACGAGCGAAAGAGGCAAATTATAGATTCAATGCCTTCAAAGTTATATTATGAAAATCTAAATCGATATGTAGCTCCAACTCTGGAATGTCAAAAAAGTATGAATACTTATTCTATCATGATATGCTTTGGAATGACATCGTCTACAAGACAGACTTACCAGGAGATTATGCCATTTTAGTTATCTTCAATAGGGTCCATATGATTTTTTACTGTGAGGAGACAAGAACTTCAACGACAGACGTTGAAACTCCCCCAACCCCGGTAGTTTGACGCGGGCGTCCCTCCCGCACTGACATAGGGCATCCAAAATAGTGGGTGGATTGTTTCTCACAAGTGATTTTTTCATGTGAACATGAGCGACAACTTTTTCTTATGCCTGGACCTAACCGGTACGGGTTTTATCGATGCTCTAGAGTTGGCCGGTCATCTTGCGCCTCTCCTAGTTATCTTATTATTATTTTTTGCTTTTCTGATGTTTTAGGTTTAGTTTTTGGGTGTTTTGTATCGAGTTAGCTACAAGTGTATCTTCCTCACTTCAAGGGCTATATCCCAGTGTTTAAATGATGCTTTGTCTGTATCTTGGTTTCTAGGTGGCGTGTATCTTCCCTATACTCTTTCATGACCCTCCCACTTCATTATCATGGTTCCCTGCTAGATGCAGGTCCGCCCCGACAATTGCCTTTTTACTGTTTTCCTGCAGATTTCCTTGGTCCAACTTCTGCCTTTCACTGCTATTGATGTTTCAGCCCTCCATCTTCGCTGCTGCTAGGGCTATCACTAACCCTTCCTAGTTGCTATTTCCACCATTTTATTTCACGACCGACCCGAAGCTTATAATTAAGACGTAAACGAATGGTTGGACGATGAAAAACAACTCTTTGCTATTCTATTTACATCACTAACATTTTAATATTCAATTTTTTTATGAAAGAGCCACTAGAAAATAATTAAATGAACAGGTAGAAAATTGTACCTTTCTGGTTATTCTGTCATTCTATACACTTTACTCAACTTTTACTTGTCTTGTTCAAATGTTTAAAACCTAATAATATTATTAAAACAATATAATAAGTTATCTAAAGATATTTCAGAAATAATCACCTTCTAAATAATAATAACTGAAGGAAAATTCTGAAATAAGTTAATCTTTCATATTTCTATAAGAAATCTTATATATGCTTATGTATGTGTCAATGATCTTTTTTAAATATAAAATATTCAAGTCTTCTATATGCATTTACTTTATCTTTACCTTTATTTTATATTCTTTACATATATATTTGTATCTGTGAGGATCACTATCAACAAAACCTAACACACTCTTGGCTAATATTGCTTCATTGGCTCCCGTCGACATATCTGTTAGTGATGTAAAGATCATAATTGTCTCGAGTGGAAAAAACTTTACTGTCGCCTGGATAATATTATCCTGTCAGCATAACAATTAATAATGTAAATATCACAGTTGTCTGGAGAGGTAAGTTCTGGTTTACTCATCCTTCTGATATTATCCAGTCGGTACAACAGTTAGTGATCTAAAAATTACAATTATCTGGTGTGGTAGAAAACTCTATGCGTGCTGGTTCATTGATGTCTTCTACCTGTACCATTAGGAGGTGAACTTCTATGAATATGCACATGCAAGTATTCATATATACGCTATTTCATTTTTCATAACATATATTATTCCGATATTCTGCTTTGCAACTATTCATCATGCATATCTCTCGTATTATGCATGTCTCTTATATCATACCTATTGTGTATATCATGTCTATCATACATATCATGCATATAATGCATATCTTTCATGCATATCTTTCATACATATCTTGTACATCTTTTCTGTCATGCATATATTTTCTATCTAATGATATGAATTTGTTGGTATAAAAATCTACTGAACTAAAGCATACATGTAATTAACATACATTTTGAAATAAAGAAAATTACTGAAATATATAAATGAAATTGCTCCCATCGGTTGTCACGTTAAACTCTTAATTTTCGACAACTAACTGGATGTGGGAATAGCTTTTATGCTGAGCTTCAAAACCTTTAAATTAAACTTATAAGATTTAATCAATTTATGTTAATCAAATTATTTTTCTTATCTTTGGATTAATTTACTTGAATTTTACGGAACTGTCCCACAATTAGCTTTCACATGCTTGCTTCAAACTTGGTGCCTCGAGTAAACAACCTAAAATCTTAAACGACATAGTAATTCAGGATATCTTAGCTCATAAAGTGATTTAGCTGAAAATATAATTGATTTTCTAAAAGATACCTTAAATGACTTCTCGACAACCCTTCTTCGAAGCTGCCAAATCCGTTTCCCTCATCTTCATATCTTCTCAAGCTTCCCTTCCTTTTCACTGATTTCATACTAAAATCCTTTCGGAAGCTCGCAAATCACCGACTCTTACGACACAATTTCGACATCTTCGATGGTTACCAGAAATAAGAAATGTATGAAAATCGAGGCAAATCTCAAAACAAAATGTCAGGAAGGAAATGAAATTCTCAAATGGCGCCAAAAGCAGTTTCATTGTAACCAATTTTTATTCGAAGCCCTAAATCGAGGTTTGCAACTCTCGGTCGCACGCGCGGCTAGCTGCAGGTCACGATTATGCTCTAGTGCAGAATTGCGCAGAAGCTGTGAGAGAAGGAATCACTGTGGGAGGTCAAGGAATCGGTAGATGGGGAAGAGGCGTGGTGCTCTGCGACTTCACTATGTTTTGTTCGCCCCTTGCTACGGCAAAGGAGCACGAAATCCTTCATTGTCGAGCGATCAAACAGGTGTGCGAGCGAAACTGAGATGGGGAGAGGGATCGAGAGCTCTAAAATGAGGATTTCCTTTTTAACGCTTACGAAGTGTTAGTATCTTGAGGGTAATGTCGATTGTGAATAGTGACGATCGGATTAGGGAGAGATTTAGGATAATTAAGGTTTTAATTACTTTAATTACTTTAATTTTGCTTAGGATAATTAAGTTTATTTTAAAACGTATCATTTGACATAGTGAGTGACTCATGTCTATGAACAAAAGTTGCAAGCTGATTAATTCTTGATGATGTACATTCAGCATGTGGTTGTTGGCGTAGCAAAAGTCTACTGCCAAGCTTGCCATGGGGAGTATTTCTAAAAGCTTAGTATTTCAGAAATTTTTTTTTTCCTGTATGGCTATTATATTTTCATGAAAATCAATGCTTGCATTATATTACCAAAAAAAAATTCAAATTAAATTCCTATTTTTCATGTTCTTGTATTTTAGTGCACCGTTCGTGCTAGTGTTATTGGCTTTTCTGAAGCCCTGGTTAGCCATCCCTTTGGAAAAGAATATTTGCAGCTTGATAGTGCAAAGGGTATTCTGACGGATGCTGTACAATTACAGGTATGTTGAATGAAATGATATCATTTTTCCATTGTAATGTTGCGTCAATTTTTTCTTTTTCTCTTGCTTTTTTTTTGTTAATTTTCTACAAAAATGCTGTACATTTAACAGTTGGTCTCTTCCTTGAGAGTAATGCCGGAGTTTCTCTTAATAGTTTTTGATCCCGTAGCAAAGGTATGTGGCTTCTTATCCTAGTAAAAAGATGGATATTGGTGATATTGTGTTTGAAGAAAGTATTATCCTTAATAACTTGATAAAAGTGATCGACATAGTTTCTTGTTTACTTTTGAAATTCATATTTGATGCTTTGAAAACTGTGCCATTTGTTTATTGCTTTCAAGTTATCATAATTTGCTTTGATTCCAAATTTTAGCATTACTGGAACAATGCATCCGCTACTTGTGCTTTGACGACACCTTTACCATCCACTGCCTTTTTGTGACTGTTTCCTATTTAGTCATGATTTGATGTTTACAAAAATTTTTTACTGAAAATTTCCCCACTCACGTAATCTTCTTTTACTTGGATATTAACTGTTTTATCCGAAAACTCTACTATATCACTAAATGAATGCTACTATATATGAATTTTGATGTCTCTTAAGATGGCATACTATGTGATGAAGTTTCCTGCTAATATTGAGCATCAGAAGTGTAGATGCATGCAGCCTAGAAGTTACTTTCATGATTTGAACTGGTGGACTCTAGATCACAACAAACACAACATAACCATCGCTCAAGAAATCAAAATCTCTAATTTAGTAATACAATCTTTTAGACAAAACAAATTATTTTTGCCCTTTCAGTCATCTTCATGTTTATTCTCTTTTTACGTGCCTCATTCGTTTACCCTTCAACCATTGATGCTGCCTTTTTACTGGATTTTTTACTAACGTTAGAGGTTAAGGATTATTATGACATCAAAAGATGACCAATAGTGATGAGTAATGGAAAAAATTATGTTCAGAGGTTCCTTTCTAAACACAGTCCACATTGAATGAATGATCAATTTTGGCTTCCAAGGTTTTTTATTTTTGGTTGTCTTGTTTCCATATTGACATGGTTAGATGCATCACTTTTCACTTTTAGCTTTGCTCTCAACTGAAATGGATCTTCAATGTCTTTCAAGTATCTGGGTGATCTTTTTGAGGCAAAGTTCATGCTCCTATTTCTTCACAACATGGTGATTTGTGTAGTTTTTCAAGCAAAAAACAATTCACAGTAACGTGTTTGTATACCTAAATATTTTGCTTTAATTGTTAGCAATATTTTGTACTTTATTTTCTTATTTCTTTATCATGGTAGAATGTTCAATTTTTTTTTCCTCATATCTTTTTATTTTAAGGTAAATCTTTCTATTTCTGGAGGGACCTGCTTTCTAGATGCTATTACAAATGACACAAATGTGGCACACATTGTTCGGCCTTCTGAAAATACCAAATGCTCTCATCTAATAGTTAGTCCTCATGGACTGGGGACTGCTCTTGTGACCATTCGTGACATTGGACTTTCTCCTCCAGTTGTTGCTTTTTCTTTGGTGAGTCCCTGATTCTGAGTCTTCATCTCTAATTATTCTTTTCTGTTATGTTATTCTTCATCTACATTTTTTTTTTTCAATAAACTCTATTTTTATTTTGAAGCTTGAAATACCGTGTGTCTTCTAACTTTACTTCTAGAATTAAAAGTTTTTCTTGTTTTTTGTTTTTGAAGCACCAAACCACACATTCATAGATGAAATAAATGAAATGATGGTTATATTTTCTGCAAATATTTATAACATTTCCAAATCTTCTTAAATTATATAACTATGTTTGATCTGACTTGAGCCAAATCAAATAAAACCCAATCAAAGTAGGTTTTTAGTTGACTATTGCTGACTTAGTTTTTCCAAGTAAGCTTCCAAATTTCAATGCATTGACAGAAACGTTCATCTAAAAGCCAAAAGGAAATTTAAGGATAGAGAAGCAAAGCAATGACAAAAGCTTTTTCAAATCCATTAAATCAATTATTATCGTGTCTCTGATCATGTTTAAGTGCTATATTATTCATATTTTAAACTGTCAGGAGTAATAGGGCTTCTTTCTTGGCGATAATCCTCTATCTTTTATATTGAATGAAATGTACTGGAGAGGATCCAAACTACAATGAAAATACATTATTTCTGAATTCCAAACAGATTACAAACATGACACTTGAAAAACAGGAAGTTATGACAAACAAACATGAACAACATAAATAATAAAAGATATCTGCACGTGACAACCAGGACGGAGGCTGCTGGACGGTGGGTTGATGGTTGATGGTTGATGGAAGATGGCTGCGACTGAAAGGAGGTGGTAGGAGGGAAGGGCAGCCGCTGGGAGATGGTTGTGGTTGCTGGAAGAGGCTTGGATGGTGGTTGGCAACTCTAGGAGAGGGGTTGCGGTTGTACTAAGAGGGTTGGCGGTTGTGGGGAAGGGGTTGCGGTTGCTGGAAGAGGGTTGTGGGCTGGACGATAGTAGGAAGCAGTGTCTTTGAAGGGTTGGACAATAGCTGGAACATGTGTCGGTGGCTGGGTAGCAGCGAGAGGTAATCTGAACTACAGCTGGACGGTCGGGCAACACCCAGAAGAGGGATGGCGTGAGTTGGACAGCAGCCAGAAGGTGGTTTGCGACTGTTGAAAACTGGGCCAGAGAAGCTGCAAAAGTATAAATGTCTCGTCTGGGTCGAGCTATAACTAGAGCACCACTCAGACCATTGGAGACGGTCTCCACCTGGGACGAGTTACAGTCGGAGCAACTAATCGTTATCGGGCACAACCCTCGGAGGGAAAGAATTCCTCTAAGGTAGGGGTGTCAATTCGGGTCAGCAGGTCAGGTTCGACCCGAAAATGACTCGACCTTAATAGGGTCAACCCAACTTAACCAGAATAATAACGTGAACTTGAGCCGCTAAACCGAACCCGATCCAAACTTTCGTGCTTATTCGGGTCATGTTTTGGTTTTCGAGTTCAACCTGAATCTGACCCAAAAAATAAATGGGTCGAATTCTTTGACTCAAACCCAAATCAAGAAATATTTGGGTCATCTCTAACCCATATTTTTTGAGTCGAGTTCGAGTCGTGTTGACGTGTCAGGTCAATATTTGACACCCCAACTCTAAGATAACACTCAAAAATCTGCACTCATAAAATTCTTCTCTCCCAATCAGCGCACGACAATTATAAATAAGATGAGTGTATAGGCCAGACTAGGTAAGTAAAGAAAATAGGTGAGGATTAAAGAAAAGTGGATAAAGAAAATTAGAATTTGAAATGTAGTCCAAGTATGGAGGGAAGGATTTGGTAGGGGAAGTTAGAATAAGAGAATTAAATAGGAAAGGGAATTAAATCTGAAATTGGACGGTGACTACTATATCAAGCATTAAGCTCCCGTATCAATCTACTAAGGTTGGGGAGCTTCGACTTCATCCGCTGAAGCTTTTAGGACAGAAAAATTTTGGTAAGGTGGGTTGGATAAGGGCAGAGGCTTGGGAACTCTAAGATAGGACTGGGGTTGTACTAGCTCTGATATTAAATGATACTGGAGGAAACCCAGATATCAACGAAAACACATTGTTTTTGAATTCCAAACGGATTACAGACATGAAACTTGGAAAGCAAGAAGTAATGACAAACAAACACGAACAACATAAATAATAAAAGATATCTGTGATTGACAACGAAGAAGGTTGCTGGATGGAGGATTGACGACTATGGAAGATAGCTGCAGCTGAGAGGAGGTGGCAGGAGGGAAGGACGACAACTAAGAGATGGTTGCGGTTGCTAGAATAGGCCTCGATGTTGGCTGGCAGCTGTAGGAGAGAGGTTGCAGTTGCTGAAAGTGGGCTGGAAGGTGACTGGCAACTGTAGGCTAGGGGATGTGGTTGCTGTAAGAGGGTTATGGGCTGGACAATAGCAGAAAAGGGTGTCCTTTGAGGTTGGATAGCAGCTGGACCATGTGTTGGTCGCTAGATAGCAACATGAGGTAGTCTAGACAGTTGCGGAAGTTGGGCAACTCCAGGAAGAGGGATGAATTGGGTTGGACAATAGCCGCCAAGGGGATGGCGTGGTCTGGGCATCAGCCAGAAGATGGTTTGCGGCTGCTGGAAACGAGGCCTGAGGGGCTACGGAATGATGTTTTGTCGGGGTCGAGCTACAACCTAAACACCACTTGGACCCTTGGAGACGGTCACAATCTCGGACGAGTTACAATCGGATAATGTTCTCGTCGCTAGGTATAACTCTCGGAGGGGAATAATGCTTCTAAGGCAATACTAAAAAATCAGCACTCATAAAACTCTTCTATTCCAATCTGCACACAAGAATTATAAATAAGATGGGAGTGGGGGCTAGACTTGGTAAGTAGAGAAAATAGGCAAGGATTGAAGAAGAGTGGATAGGAAAGGCATAAATTTGAAATGCAATCCAAGTATGGAGGGAAATTAGAGCAGGAGAATCAAATAGGAAAGGGATTTAAATTTGAAAGGGGATTGCGGTCATTGTAGCAGCTATAGTAACTCATTCGTGGTACTGTAACTGCTATAGTACCGTGGCTGATATACTCTCGCGTCAATCTTCTGGTGTTGGGGGTGCTTTGACTTCATCCGTTAAAGATTTTAGGGCAGAAAAATTTTGGTAGGGTGGCTTTGGTAGAGGGACGAATGTTAGGGAACCTTAGGATAGGACTAAGGTTTCGTTAGCTTTGATATCAAATAGTACCAGAGGAAACCCAAATCACAACATAAACACATTATTTCTGAATTCCAAATGGATTATAAACACGACACTTTAATAACAGGAAGTAACGACAAACAAACTCGGACCTTAGGATAGGACTAAGGTTTCGTTAGCTTTGATATCAAATAATACCAGAGGAAACCCAAATCACAACGTAAACACATTATTTCTGGATTCCAAATGGATTATAAAAACGATACTTGAATAACAAGAAGTAACGACAAACAAACTCGAACAACATAAACAATAAAAGATATCTGTGGGTGCAAGGGGGACAAAGACTGCTGGACGGTCGGTTGACCGTTGATGGAAGATGGCTGCGACTGATGGGAGGTGGCAGGAAGGAAGGTGGCTGCTGGGAGATGGCCGTGACTGTTGGAAGACGCCAGGATGGTTGCTGGCAGCTGTAGGAGTTGCTGGAAAAATGTTGAAAGGTGATTGGCATTTGTAGGAGTGGGGGCTACGGTTGTTGGAAAATGATTGTGTGCTGGACGGCAGCAGGAAGCAGTGTCCTTGAATGGTTGGACAACAACTGGAAAATGTGTTGGTGGCTGGGTAGCAGGAGAAGGTAGTCTATTCAACATTCAAAAGGCTGGGCAGCAGCTAGAAGAGGGACAACATGGGCTGCACAGCAGCCAGAAGGGGGTTTGCAACTGGTAAAAACGGGGCAGAGGGGTTGGGGAAGGGTAAATGTCTTGTCGGAGTCGAGCTACAGTTGTAGCACCACCCGGACCTTTGGAGATGGTCACCAACTCGGAAGTGTTATAGCCAAAACACTTTCTCGTTGTTGGGTACAATCCCCAAAGGGGGAAACACCTCTATATTAAAACTCATAAATTTGTACTCATAAAACTCTCCTCTTCCAATCAGCACACGACAATTGTAAATAAGATGGGAGTAGTGGCTAGACTAGGTAAGTAGAGAAAAGGTTGGCGGTTCCAATCACATGACTAAGGACAATTTCAGACTTGGGAGGCGAATCCAGATCGGTATGGTTGGTGGTTCCGTCTGTGGGTCAAAATCCACAGTTTATTTCAAAATTTTCATTGCTTTGTTATCAATCCAAATCAATCTTCTAGCAAATAAGCGTGTGTAATACTCTTCATTTTTAAGTTGAATAAGGTTATCCTGCCCATCTAAACATGTTTAAACAGTTCTGGTTTGATGTAGTATCCACTGCATATTTTTTGATCAATCAGATTTTTTTTACTGTTCTACAAAATTATACACCCTTCCAAGTTTGGTTTCCAACTAACTCTATTTTTTCTATTGAACCACACATATTTGGATGTACTTGTTTTGTTCGTGATACTCGTCCACATATTTAAAATTGGACCCTAAGCCAATAAAGTGTCTTTTTAGAATATTCTGAACCCTAAAAGTATCAGTGTTTTCTCCTTTTGAATAGGTACATGATTTATGCTGATGTCACTTTTCATGAACAAATCCAATTCTTTGGTGTTTCATCGATGCCTAAATCTTCATAAGATTTTGATGACTTGTTAATGTATCACATCATAAGTTCAGGTCTTACTTCAGCTCTACCTCCACTACCTCAGTTTAGACCACCTATCACAATTGTTTACTGAACAAGGCATCATCCTCTGGTCCTAGTCCGACACCAGTATGATCTTCCTTAGTGGATCGTTCTTCTAGTGAGCTTGATTTACCTATTTACATTCGAAGATGTAAATGTCAATGCGTCCATCCCATTTCCTCTTGTCTTAACTATAATCAGTTATCTTCAACTTCTTGGTCGTTTGGTGTTGCTCTTGATTCTA